ACCTCTCTCTCTCTATCTCTCTGTCTATCTCTGTCTGTCTCTCTCAGTCTGACTAGTGACTATATGACTATTTTTATAATTGTTCATGTATCGTTTTTGTCTAATTCAGTTAATATCTTTTTGTTTCACTAATTCTGTTCATATCCATCAAATTCCCTTCATATCCATGCTCATCTCTCTCTCTCTTTCTATCTATCTATCTATCTATATCTATCTATCTATCTATCTATCTATCTATCTATCTATCTATCTATCTGTCTGTCTGTCTGTCTGTCTGCAGATCTGTCCACTCTAGGTTTCATACCTAGTCTATCTGAATAATTTTGATTGTCTCTCTATCTACCTCTCTCTATCTGCCTCTCTGTCTGTTGGTCTATATGACTGGCAATTTATTTAATTCTGTTCATATCTATCTATCTATCTATCTATCTATCTATCTATCTATCTATCTCAAACTTACTCATAATCCTTAAAAAAAGAAACATTTAAAGAAAATCTCAATCATCATTGTGTAATGTAAAAATATATAAATAAAAACATTAACAATCTTTAAAAAATGGTACATAGTCATAAAAAGTATAGTTTGGCGTTTCTTTGTTTACCACTTTTTTTAAGTTTAAAGACTAACGGTAACCGTAATTCACACCCTCTTCTTCGTGCCTTTTGACAATAAAGTTAAAAACGCAATTCTTTACTTCCTTGAAAAAAGGCTTCATCAGTCCAGTCATTCTGTTTTCTTGTTTTCAGTACTTAAGATTCTTGGTTTTGTTTTTGTTTTTTCGTGTTATTTTTTAATCTGTTTAGCTTACTGTCTGTCCTCTACCCCCGTATTTTTCCGCCCCCGCTTGCTTGCGGACGAATGACCTTGTTAGGGTCCATAGCACTTATTTCCTTTGTGAAAGGGCCATCCTCTCTCTGACAACCCTTTTTCTCTATTTCCATCAGTAGGAACCCCTGTTTTTTTTTTTTAACGTTCCCTAAACTGGGGAAAAAAATCCTTTCTTCACTTGTGCTTTTAGAGAATGTCTATGACAAAGAACTAAGTTATTTAGAAAGAGAGAGCAAAAGAAAAAAAATGTTTAATAATGTCAACGAAAGTATATAAGGGAATTCAATTTAATTTAATGCATTTTAATTTATTTGTTTGTTTGTGTGCGTGTTTAAAAAATATCCATATCTAATCAAAGATCAAGACTATTGATCACTAAACCCGAAACGAACCTAAAAGAAAGAAAGAAAGAAAGAAAGAAAGAAAGAAAGAAAGAAAGAAAGAAAACAAACAACCGGAAAACAAATTATTTGAAGAGAAAGGAGAAAGAAGTATTTTTTTACTCGGTAAACCATTTTTTTTTGTGTTTAATTTAAATTAATAATTTGTTATCAACATAAGTTAACTTTGAACTATTTTACTTTTTTTTAACCTTGTACTTAAAAAAGAAAGAGAGAGAGAAAAACATACATAAAATCGAAAGGAAAAAGAAAGAAAGAAAGAAAGAAAGAAAGAAAGAAAGAAAGAAAGAAAGAAAAAGCATACAAGGAAAGAAAGTAAGTAAGAAAGAAAGACAACAAAAGAAAGAAAGCGGGAAAGAAAGAAAGAAAGAAAGAAAGAAAGAAAGAAAAACGCAAACAGGCAGAAAGAAAGAAAGAAAGAAAGAAAAAAAAGAAAGAAAGAAAGAAAGAAAAAGTGATAGAAAAAAAATGAAAGAAAGATAATTAAGAGAGCGCGCAAAAGAAATTCTTTGAAAAAAAAGAGAGAGAAAAATTGAAGGGTATCTTTTACCCGGTAAACGATTTTTTTTTCTTTTTTTTGTTTAGTTTAATTTAATTTATTTAATTTACTTAACAATAACATCATATAACTTTGATGAACGATATTTTACTTTTTAACCTTGTACTTAAAGAAAGAAAGAAAGAAAGAAAGAAAGAAAGAAAGAAAGAAAGAAAGAAAGAAAGAAAGAAAGAAAGTAACTAAGAAGAAAGAAAGAAAATATTTGTGGTTATTTTCAAAATTTGCCTATTTTGCCAGTCAGGAAGACCTTCAACTTTTCCCCCCACCCCTTCTTCCCTGACTATGAGTTCCTGTGATGTGGGTCGCATGTAAATACACACACACACACACACATATGTATATATCAGTGTATGTGTGTGTGTGTGTGGCGAGAGTAAAAAATATCTCTTACCTAACTACAACATAATATAAGTATATAATATATATACTGTATAAACTAACTACGTATGTACCACACCTTAACATATTCGTCTCTCTCGACATTTATTATATCACCATAGACACAAAACACGTTTTTAGCGATTCCTCTCAGCTCAGCACATAGAGATTTAATCACGTATACACGCACTTATAGTTATGTTTATATAGTACGTAAAAATATATCTATGTACCAATTGACACTAATATACTTCAAGGGAAACTACATTGACCAGTTTGGAAAAATCAGGAATCTTCTATTTTATTTTATTTTTTTCACAGACCCACTTAAAACGTGACGAATAGAGATTTTTTTTTTTACTATTTGAATTATGCACCGAAACCCCCCAGAAATTACAAAGCTTATTTAATACGTATATTGACATCTATTGTGAGATTTATCTAAAAACAAAAAGGAAGACAGAAAAAAAGGTCATTGGTAATAATCAGGAGTCTTGGAACTTTTATGAAGAGGGTGACTGACTCCGTGGTTTTGTTTTCGTTGGAAACCTACAGAAAACAAGAAAACAGATTCATAAATCGGAATTTTCTTCTTTTTCTTTCATTTTTTTTTTTTTTGACAAGGAAAATTAAGGTGTGATTGTTTCACTTCCAGAAGTTGGCTTCTTTTATGAAGACCTGAAGGTAATTTTTTTTTCTTATTCTCTCTTTTATTGTTCTTGAAAAAATTATATTTATTTTAAATTGATTTTTTGTTAGACTCAATTTCCGTATTTTGGTTAAAAAAAAATAAGTAGAGAAAAACAAACGGCTGAAGAGAAAGAAGAAAAGAATTTGGCCGAATAATTTTACACAAGGATAATTTTTTTATTATCATCGTATCTTAATAAATTAAAAAAAAAAACAGACAATTTACATCTTTAATTAAAGAATTAATTAACAATAAAATGGAAAGGATTTTACATGTTTATTTTAAAATCCCTTTTTCAAAAGGGACTTCATGGCAAAGTTTTCCTTCCTTTTAAGTTCAAAAACAAATATTTTTTTTGAATTGAATGATACAATAATTCATTGTTACTCTTTCTTTTTTTCTTACCGGGATGTGAAGATTTCTGTTAATATTTAAAAAGAAATACTATTTTTTTTCTTTAAAAATACTACTTAAGTTTTTATTTAACTGTCTGGATCCTTGAAAAGATTTTTTTTTTAAATTTTCATTAAAAATATCTTTACCTTTTTGCGTTAACAACATTTTATTTTATTTTTAAAAAGGATTTGCCTTCTTATTTTGTCGATTATTTGATTTTATTAAATTAAAATATTCATTTAAATTTTTAAAAAAATCATTTTAATTTTCAAAAATTTGTTTTATATTCTAACTAAAAAATGAAAATCGTTCCTTTTTATTAACTTCAGTTTTTTTTATTATTTTTTTCTTAGACATTTAATTAAAAAAAAATATTTTCAACTGAAATGTACATGAAATGTTCAATTTCTTTGTCTTAATTACAAACGACGACATCATTTCAAATTTATTTATATATTTGTTTATTTTACTTACAACAATATTTTTTTTAGTCTATATCTTACCCTCGGCTGGACTATATTGACTAAAAATAATAATTAAAATGATTTGAAAAAGATTTGAAATACTTAAAGTGATCATAAGAATAAAAACAAAGCCTTGCGTTACTTACTCGCCTAATAAATAAAAATCTACCTACATTGTTTAAATATTAAATGTCAATAAGAAAGAAAAAAAACTCTATTGTTATTTTATTAATAAATCTATTATGAAAATTGTTATGATTGAAATATCTACAAAAAAAAATCAAGGCTTTTTAGTTTGGATTAAAAAAAATAATTCATTGTTAACTTTTTTGTTTATGACATATTTTTAATTTTTTGGTCTTATTTAGCAGTTTTATTAGTAATTGTTATTTTTGTTATTATCTTCACGTATTATCGCTTGACAATTAACAAGATTTTTATTGTTTTAAATCCGAATAATAGATTTTTTTTTTAAAAGGAAAAACTCGTATTTTTTGTTCTGTCTCTCTTTTACAGTGTGTGCTCGTTGATTTCGTCCGTTTCGAAATTTTCTCTCTTCCTTCCTTTGATACAATTTTTTTCTTCTTCTTTCCTTTCTAACTTATTTTCAAGGACACCTTTTTGGCTTGAAAAGAAAAAAAAAAAGAAGTGAAGATAAAGAAACAAGTTTATAAATAGATTCGTCTCATTTCTTTTTCTTTCTTTCTTTTTTTTTTGTCATTTTAAAAAGTTAAGATTTCAGAAAAAAAAAGCTATAAGTTTTTTTATTTTATAAAATAAAAGAAAAAGTCAGAAAGTGGTTGATGAATTTTTTTTATGTTTCACACCGACTGGCCCTGACTTGCTTTAAAAAAAATAATAATTAAAAACTATGTACAGTTTTTTTTTTTTTTTTTTTTTCACTCATTTTATCCGGACTCATATGAGTCCAGATAAAAAAAAAAGCCATGTGTGTGTTTTTAAAAGGTTTTTAACAAGTTTTACTTTTTAACTTTTTTAACAAGAGGCAATGAATTCTTTTTGTTTTAAAACTACTCATAAATTGAATTTTGAAAAATCCCAAGAAAATTGAATAATTTTTATGACGTTTCAAAAGGGCATAAAGATTCAATTCAAATATTATATTGTTTTTTTTCTTTTAAATTTGTTTTCAATTTTAAATAAAAACCAAAACTAGTTTTCCAAAACATTTATGATTTTTAATTTAAAACTTAAAATGATCCCAAACTCAAAACAAAAGTGAAAATAAGTTTAATAATTATTTTTGTAATAATTTTATACCGAAAGTGATCACACCTTCGTTTTTGAAATTGAAACTAAAAAAAAGACACCTAATAAAAATGTACATTTTTATTTATTTATACCGCATACTACTTTTTTTTTTTAGTTAGAAAACAAAAATAAAATAAGTTTTTTTTTAGAATTTCGTTCTTTCGAGTAAGTTAAAAAAAAAAAATTAATGGGTTTTTCTTTTTGTTTAAATTTTGAGAAATTTTAACCAGTTTCGTACTTTTTGAAAAAAAATTCTTAATTTGATTCTATTGCGTATCATTTATTTAAAAAAAATCATCTTATATTTTTCGAAAAACTGACAGTCAAATTTTTAATTTCAAGATTTTTTATCCTTTTTCTTATATAGTGTTATTAAGTTAACTGTTAGTGTTAGCGTTCTGTTAGTTAGTGTTGTTATTGTTGATGTTGTTGTGGTGGTGGGGAGTTTGTTGTTAAATTTAAGAAATTATTTAAATTTGTGCTTCACTTCATGAATATCAGTGAAAAAACACTTTATTATCGTGTATATCTTGTTCGCTTCCGTTTATTTCAGTCTGTTTATAACTTCATATCTATCTATCTATCTATCTATCTATCTATCTATCTATCACAGTCTGTTGGTGTTGATCTATCTATCTATCACAGTCTGTTGATCTATCTATCTATCTATCTATCTATCATCTTTCACAGTGAGTCTGTTGATCTATCTATCTATCTATCACAGTCTGTCGATCTATCTATCACAGTCTGTCGATCTATCTATCACAGTCTGTTGATCTATCTATCTATCTTTCACAGTGAGTCTGTTGATCTATCTATCTATCTATCTATCTATCTATCTATCTATCACAGTCTGTTGATCTATCTATCTATCACAGTCTGTTGATCTATCTATCTTTCACAGTGAGTCTGTTGATCTATCTACCTATCTATCTCACTCTGTTCATATCTATCTCACTCTGTTCATATCTATCTCACTCTGTTCATATCTATCTCACTCTGTTCATATCTATCTCACTCTGTTCATATCTATCTCACTCTGTTCATATCTATCTCACTCTGTTCATATCTATCATCTGTCTCTCAGTCTGTTGATCTATGTATTTAGTCATCTCAGTCAGTTGATATATCTATCTATATTGATATATCTATGTATCTCTGTTGATCTATCTATCTATCTATCTATCTATCACTCACAGTCTGTTGATCTATCTATCACAGTCTGTTCATATCTACCTACATATCTCACTCTGTTCATATCTATCTCACTCTGTTCATATCTATCTATCTATCTATCTATCTATCTATCTATCTATCACTGTTCATATCTACCTACCTATCTCACTCTGTTCACATCTATCATCTGTCTCTCAGTCTGTTGATCTATGTATTTATCTAGTTATCTCAGTCAGTTGATCTATCTATCTATCTATCTATCTATCTATCTATCTATCTATCTATCACAGTCTGTTGATCTATCTATCTATCTATTTTTGTCTGTTTGTCTCAATGAATGCTAATCTATCTATTTTTTTCAATTTTTGTTTATTTATCTATCTGTCTATTTATGTATGTCAGCCAGTCTGTATATCTATGTCTCTGTTTATTTATCTATTTATATCTGTCGGTCTATATATCTGTCTATGTCCCTCTCTCTCTCTCTCTCTCTCTCTCTCTCTCTCTCTCTCAATCTATGTCATTCTCTGTTTATGCCTGTCTGTTGGTCTATATATAGATATTGCTATCTATCTATCTATCTATCTATCTATGTCTTTCTCACTATCTATCTGTCTGACTCTTTATGTCTATCTTTTTATTTTTGTCTGTCTGTTTATTGAACAATCTTTACATTTTACTTCTTTGCAGGCTCATTGAAAAGACTATGGTGTGTGATCTAACTCCTGTATCACAAAACAATTGTACAATCAGAATGTTGCTCCAATACCATATGCAAGCGAATTACCTGGGTAACCAGATGGTACCCTGCACATGTCGACGAGTACCCCTTCAAGAAACATTTCTCCATCGAATACTTACTGGCAAGGGGTATGAGTATGAGAACACATCAGAAAGCTGCAACAGCAGTGACAAAAATTACCATGCTGACAACACGCAACGCCACAGTCCCAATGACTACCCATGCGAAACATCACGAGTGGAACTCCAAACATCTTTCCTCCAGTGTCACCGAAGACTCCAGTCACAAGAAACTGGTGGTGCCATGGACTCTTCTCCTTCAACATCTTCTTCTTCCCCCTCCCCCTCCTCCTCTTCACCTTTTCGAATAAACTCCCGAAGACATTTTAACAGATCCGAGCCATTGTCTGTCAGTGCGAGTTCAGCTTCATCACCTTCTTCATCTCCCTTGTCACCTCAGCACCTCCCTTCCAAGGAGTGCACACCTCCACATCCTGAAGAATTAGATTCTTCATCGTCACCCCATCGGTCATCATCTTCTTTTGCCTCCCACTGATTTTCCTCTGCTTTTCCTTGCCTCGTTCTTTCTCCCTCACTGTTTTTTTTTTTTTTCTTTAATATTTCATTTATTTTTGCTGATATAAAATATGTCATTTCTCTGGTAAGTTGTTTAATTGTTGTTATCATTGTCTGTTCATTTGTGACACACTTATTACGAGGCTTACAACCATATCGCAGTTCCCGTACGATCACCAAAGTTAATCAACGTCGAGCCTAGATGGGTGACCGCTTAGGAATACCAGGTATTGTAAGCTTGGATGTGCAGGTGGTTTAATGAATAACAGCACGGAATTGGAAATCGGAGAGCTGAGTTCCAATTCAAGTTGAGTTATATTCAGTTACATGCAAAAACCCTTGGGAAAAGTATGAATCCACCTCTTCTGCCCCCAGCTACGGGTTAATTAGTTGGAAATTTTTCAGAAAAACATTATCTCCCTCAACCCGGAAATTCTTATGCTCTAAAAACATTTTATGGCTTTAAATAACCTGCAAAGGTTTGATAAGCCGTAGAAAATTAATGAATCAATCAATGAAATATGGATTAGCTACACAAGCATGATTTTTAGATTTATTTACATTCTCTGAAATATAAATGTATAGAAACTATCGTGGTCGCAAAATGAGGGATCAGTTTATCTATATATATATTGATTGCAATATAAAATTGATCCCCCACTTTATATCCACATAATTTCTTGTTTTTTTTTTCCTTACCTCACCTAAATTCTTACAGCCTAAAAAAATATCTTTAAATGACCTGCAAAAAGGTTGATAAGCCATAAAAAAACAAATCAATCCATCAACCAATCACACTTATTACATGACATTTTCACAGAGGCTATCACATACCACTAGAAGTGCAATACCAGTGATAGCTGACCTCACCAATTTGATAACATTTTCATCAACTCTAGAATAGAATCTCTGTGTTGCCGAAATTTTGAGAGTTCAACTCCGACCTTATCACTGTTTAAGAAATTAAAAAAATAAGGATAGCAACTCAAACATTGGGTACCCACTAAAAAGTAATATTTATAGTAAAATAATATATATATATATATGTATGTATGTATATTATGTATTTAGACAGCTAACACTTTTTTATACATGTTTCATTAAAGTTGACTGACAAGGTACTGCGATTAAGCTTTTCATTTAATTTTTCTTGTGTTTGTACAAGTGTTTTCTGGACACAAAGTGTGTAAAAACTGTCTAAAAGTTCTACATGTCTGAGCACTTTCAACTATACTTTTAGTCATTATCAAGGGTGATTTTATTTTTGCCTTTAACTGAATGTATGGGTTGTATTATGTATGTATCAAGAGTTATAGGAATGTTTTATTTTCCAAACATGGTCAGCACATTGTGGCCCTGTTCATAGTTAATGTTATTGAGTGTCAGCTTTTTCTTTTTTATTATTAGGTCTTCCATTATTTTTAATCTATTTTTTACATGTGGATAAGGTTATTATGCATGTATTTACTTCTAGTATGTTTTGGAAATATATATGAGATAACAATTTTTATATATCAAAAACAGGTTTGGAGGAAAGATGTATGACAAAGTGGAAAAGAGTTTTTATGTGACATGTCTCATCCCTTAGGATTTAAGCTATTTGTTTGCATTGATACAACTACACATGTGCATGAATGAGAGATGCTGGGAATTTTAAATTTTGAAAATATTTTGGGGGTTTTAATTTTTTTTTTAATTTGTTTTAATCTTGCCAAAAAAAGAATCTAAATGAAATTGGCTAGATCATGTAGCCAAAATACATTATTTAAAAAACAAAACCTAAAGCACATTAATAAAAAAATAAAACTTAAAACACATTATCAAAAAAACAAAATCTAAAACACATAATTAAAGAAACAAAACTTAAAACACATTAAAGAAACAAAACCTAAAACACATTATCAAAAAAACAAAACCTAAAACACATTATTAACCAAATCTAAAACACATAATTAAAAAACAAAACTTAAAAACACATTAAAGAAACAAAACCTAAAAACACATTATCAAAAAAAACAAAACCTAAAACACATTATTAACCAAATCTAAAACACATAATTAAAAAAACAAAACCTAAAACACATTATCAAAAAAACAAAACCTAAAACACATTATTAACCAAATCTAAAACACATAATTAAGAAAACAAAACTTAAAACACATTAAAGAAACAAAACCTAAAACACATTATCAAAAAAACAAAACCTAAAACACATTATTAACCAAATCTAAAATACATAATTAAGAAAACAAAACTTAAAACACATTAAAGAAACAAAACCTAAAACACATTATCAAAAAAACAAAACCTAAAACACATTATTAACCAAATCTAAAACACATAATTAAAAAAACAAAACCTAAAACACATTATCAAAAAAACAAAACCTAAAACACATTATTAACCAAATCTAAAACACATAATTAAGAAAACAAAACTTAAAACACATTAAAGAGACAAAACCTAAAACACATTATCAAAAAAACAAAACCTAAAACACATTATTAACCAAATCTAAAACACATAATTAAGAAAACAAAACTTAAAACACATTAAAGAAACAAAACCTAAAACACATTATCAAAAAAACAAAACCTAAAACACATTATTAAAAAACAAAACCTTAAACATTATTAAAAAACAGAACCTTAAACACATTATTAAAAAAAATATATTTTCAAAACTATTTTCAAAATTTAAAATTCTCACATGTGTCGCATGAACATAAATAAACCTAGCCCAATGAAGTCCTAAAAGACAAAATGCATCACACAGAAAGAATATATAAATTTTTATATATTAAGAACAATATTAAGGGAAAAAATGTATGACAAAATGGAAAAAAATAAGAATATATAAATTTTTATATATTGAGAACAATATTAAGGGAAAAAATGTATGACAAAATGGAAAAAAATAAGAATATATAAATTTTTATATATTAAGAACAATATTAAGGGAAAAAATGTATGACAAAATGGAAAAAAGTTTTTATGTGATGGATTATAAAGTTATAAAGGACAAAATGTGTCCAACAAAACTTTAGACATCTCGAAAGCATTTGACAGGTTTTCTTTGCAAGTTGAAAGATTATGGTATTTCTGGATGAGTTTTTGATCTGATTCAGCCTTTCATAAAATGAAAGTTATCCTGAACAGCCACTCTTCTAGGCCTCAACTGTGTACCAACGCTGAAGATACAACTATTTACTCCTGTCTTAATAGTAGATCGGTCCGATAAGGTCAAATTGGTAGTTGATCTCTAAAATGACTTACAACCTGTTGTTAACTGGGATAAGGAATGGCTTGTTAATTTTAACACTTCCAAAATGAAACTGTTCCCTATCAATCATCTGAGAGACTCCTTTCGGCCTTCCTTCAAGAATGGCTGATGTTAAACTCCAGTAGAGTGACTCGTTGTGCCTAACTTTTTCTGCTGACATGAAATGGAAAGATTATATTGAATCAGTTGCTAGTTCTGTTGCTAGGAATGTTGGTTGACTGTTGTGCTATACAACTTAGAAATTTATAAGTCTACCATTTGTTCATGAATTGAATATTCCTGCCACATCTGGTCTGGTGCTCCTGCTATACATTTAGAGATTCTTAATAGAATCCAAAGCAATATTATTGGTCCTAACCTGGCATCTCGCCTTCAGTCACTTTCCCACTGGGCCTTTTCTATAAATACTTTCATGGTAATTGTTCTGATGAACTTTCTGGTATGGTAACTAGACTATGAATTTAAGCGTAGTATTAGATTGTTGGCAAGGTTTTATTATGTTGGATATTGTTCATAGAAGTGTATATATTGGAGATTATTATTATTATTATTTCAATTTGTCATTGAAATTTTAATTGAAAGTTCCTGGAATTTTCAATGTTAAATTTGTTTCTTTTTATGAAACTTTTATTTACGAAACTGGGATTTTATCTTTTTTTTGGGACGGGGGGAATAAGAGGCTGACCTTTTTGTTTGCTTGGATTTTGTCCTGGATTAGTGGCAAGGTCTCATCATTTTACAGTTAAAATGGCTAAAGATGTAACTATAAGTTCTATGCTAATAGTTTTTTCAATTGCACTTCTCACTTGTGGAACTCTCTTCTGTTGTATTAATATCAACAGACTATCAGCACAATTGATACATTCAAGAAACAGTCACTCAACACACAACCTTGGCACAGCACATCTACCCAATTCGTTGTCCATAATAAAGTCCATTGAAACATAGATCAGCCTCCTATCATATTTATATGCCATGTCCCCTCAGGATGTAGGTGATCATAGCTCTCGAGAACTTCCTCTCCTTTGTAGCTCTTAAGAAATTTTATCTTTTTGTTATTTCTCCCAAGTCTTGTTCTGCCATTCATTTTCTCAAAAGCTTGTCATGTTATGCATTGTTTTCCTCTGTCCTGTGAGTATCAGATTCTCCAAGCCCTCCTTCCTCGTTATGTGCCCTAGAAATTTCAACTGTCTCTTCTTGATGTTAAGTATAAGTTTCCATTTCGTTTCTATTATCATTACACAGATATCTCCCCAAAATTCTGAATACTTATAATTAAAAAATATAACTTATGATAATAGAATTTTAGTGTTAATGTAAATACAGTATTTAATTAAAATTGATAATTAAATTTTTTTATTAAGTTAATTAACCAGTATCTATTTTAATATTATTTTTTAAAGTACTAGAATTTTTTTTGCGACATGCTAACACGTGTTAAAATCCTCACAGTATTTAGTATTGTTGAAGTTATTGCTAACATTTTGTTGTTAATATTTACAAATTTTCCATTTCGTTCAATTTCACAAAACCAATCGATGAAATTTAGAAAAGCTTTGGAAAAATAGTTTTAAAAAATCCTACTTTGTGATTTAATAATTTCTGTAATCTAATCCTATAGAACTTCATGGTAAACAATACTTTTTAAGAAAATTTCTATTTTTTCTTTTTCCTTTTTAAGAGCATTCTTAAAATTT